ATTATTTACACAGACACGATCAAGTAGCAAATATAATATACCAAGAGCTTGCAAACAAACACAAATTATTAGAAAACCACGAACCATACTACAAATACATTCCACAAACAGTATTGGAAAACAACACGCACAAACTGTACTACGACAGAGCCATAATCACAGATAAAACAATTTACCACAACAGACCAAACATCACACTCATTGACAAACACAATAAAATCACATACATTATGGACATAGCCATTCCAAACACTCACAATGTACAAAACACGTGCACTGAAAAAATTAGCAAATACACAGAACTCGCCCAGGAAATAAGGCATCTGTGGAAGATGGAAAGGGTGCTTATTGTACCTGTCGTTCTCTCTTGTACGGGTGTGATACCACACACACTACACAAAAGCCTGGGAACATTACAATTGAATAGAAATACACACATAACACTACAGAAGGCCACTATATTGAATACATGCCATATTGTTAGGAAATTCCTGGATACTGACACTGACACACTTATTTAATTTTAGTTTTATTTTGATTGCTATGCCTTGACTCTGGTCAGCATAGTACACAGCCACCGGTGTCAACCGAGTATAACTTATTAAACCCAACATAATAATATTTAATTATATATTTGAAATAATAAAATTAAAAATAAATGTCTTCCTTTCCTCTGTTCCTCTTTTCCTGTATTTCCTGTAAATAATAATAATTATACTTATTATAATTGGAAGTTTTGCAGTCATTTTTTTTCAATTTTACTTGTATATTTATTTAATTTGATTAAACGGGGGAGGAGAGATCTTTCCCTGTAATCAATGACAACACATGTTTGATATATAATAATTTTTTCTTATATGTCAAAGTAAAATGGCCTTTTTTTATTACTTTTAAATTAAAGAAGATAATTACTAATTGCATATATTAAATCAAATGAAATTTTTGATATATGCCATTTATGATTGCTTTATTATACAGTCGACCCCCTGACACTGTTAACACTGTTGATTATTCCGTTTTATATGTATTCCATGTTGTAGGAGTCACTTAGATTTTACAAATACATGTGCCAAGCTGTGAATGGCTCACATATTTGTAAAATCTAAGTGACTCGTACAACATGAAATTCATATAAAATGGAATTATCAACAGTGTTATAGGGGGGTCGACTTGTATATAGATATAGAAACCATAGAAGCATGAGGCCCCAATTAACTATATAAGAACTTCCGATACAAATCAGAAGTGACGTTATTTTATTATTTTAACTCAAAATTTTTCTCCTGAAAGGTTTGATTATCGGCACGACTCTATTGTTAAAAGAAAAGTATAATGTACAGGGGCAAGCCACTACCAATTTGAGGTGGAGAGCATATATTTTAAGCGAAATAAATTTAAAAAAATATGATTAAAAATTGCATTTCGGCATTGCGACTGTGTCACAATAAATAATTGTTCGTTACATAAACAATATAAAATATTTTTACGTAAAATATAAGCGTTTTATTTATGTTTTTCTATTGTTTTGTTTTAAACTTTTCGTAAAATAACCTAAATGTTGCATTATTTAATAATCTGAAATTTGTAAAATCGAAGTTGAAATTTTTTTATTTATAAAATAAATAGGGAATTTCGACAATGTTAATTAAACATTTATTTTATTTAGAAACCTTCTTCGTTTTTATTAAATTAATTTATTTATTAATTCTTGACATACTATAATAAGCTTTTTTTTTTAAATAGATCGTTCATCTACCTTGAAGTATTTTTTTTATAATAAAACATTTACGTTGTGTTTAAATTTAATTAAACTAATTTATTGAAACAATTGTTAATGACCCCAATTAAACGTTTCACGTCAATGTTTATGTCTTCATTTTCTTTACCTTCTTATTGACATATTTAAATAAATTCATTTATGATAATTAAATGACAGGAAGTATTATTTTGCATTTATTTTATTTGTTCTTTTAAAAATAAAATGCCAATATCGATCATTAGATTATTTCATACTTCTAACCCTCCTATTAAATTATATTATAGTATTTGATTTACAAACGTTCATAACCCGGCATACGTACAGTAGACCCTCCTATAACACTGTAGATAATTCCGTGTTATATGAATTTCATGTTGTACGAGTCACTTAGATTTTACAAATACGTGAGCCGTTCACAGCCCGGCACAAGTATTTGTAAAATCTAAGTGACTCGTACAATATGAAATTCATATAACACGGAATTATCTATAGTGTTATAGAGGGGTCGACTGTATTTGTAAAATCTAAGTGACTCGTACAACATGAAATTCATATAACACGGAATTATCTATAGTGTTATAGAGGGGTCGACTGTATTTGTAAAATCTAAGTGACTCGTACAACACGGAATTCATATAAAACGGAATAATCAACAGCGTTATGGGGGGGTCGACTGTAGTTGAATTTTATATATCATAAATAGAAAGGTTTATAGATAGATATATTCTTATAACCCTGAATAAGAAGAAATTTTTCTACAATTTATCACAATCAGAGGTTTTTTTTTTCTTGTTCTCTTTTACACAATTGTCATTAAACCAAGGCTGATTAAATATTTTAAAATTAATAACGTATTTTCTTAACAAGCAACTATCTATATATAGTATACTGTATTTGAATAATGTTTTCTAGCGTAATATACGGTGATATTTGCATCTAATGGTTATTGTCTAAAGCATTGAGTAACTCCTTCCATTTTAATATATGTAAAGGACATATTAAAATGGGTTTTTTGACTTGTTATGACTCTAAGCTACGACATATAAATGATCTCTTCCTATTTCACAAATAATAATGGGCCGTCTCGGAGAATAAAACGAGGCCCTAAATTATAACTTAGTTTATACTTAAATCCGAATTACCAGTACATAAAATATTATATAGCATCGCAGTAACACGAGTGTAAGATGCTAAAGTGTATAGGGACGTGTGTGAAGAATGATGTAGTTTTAGTAGATTAGAATAGAACTATAACTGTGCCAATCTACATGGGGTGATAGGAATTAGTGCTAGAAATTTTTTGGTATAAGTTTATTTTATCTTTTAGAATATTAACCTAAAATTTTTAACGAAAATTGAAAGTTGTATGGAGTTGGTTGACATGGTTTGTTTGTTTAACGTGACCCAATTCTTTATAAATTTAGAAAACATTAACTAGCCTTGGTTTAAAGAAAACTGTATAAAAATAAAAGAAAAAGAAAATATTATAATGATAATTTTAATAGATTATAGAAATAATTTCTTTTATTCGTGATATAAGGATGTATTTATCCACCCATCGAAGATATATATATATATATGTATGCGTATATAAGAGTATGTTTTATATGTGAAGTATGCTCTTATAAGCGAAAACAAGAGATTTCCATATATTATTTGCATGGAAACACAGCTCGATAAGCTAAATGTAAGCATTAATAACCACATTTTATACAAAAAAATAACAATATTTTAATTTAATTTTAAGAAGTAAACGTACGAAGAAGAAGAGCAAGTAAATGTAAATGAGATGTATATAGAATTTATATAGATATTAAGTTTTTAAAGTGTACATCCAATAAAAATTTCCTCTAATTTTGATATTTTATAATACTAATTTATAATAAGCGTTTAGGCTTTATTTAATACAAGAATAAATTTTTTAAAATTATTTAAATGTAGCCTATAATACGTTTATTAATAATCGTCACGAATCAATAAGCATACACAACTGAAGAAAAGAAAAGTAACGTTATTGACGATAATAATTTAAACAGGAAAATGACAATGTCCTATTTTCCTTTATATTTTGATTCAGAATAAGAACTTTCAATGATAAATTCTAAACAAGGACAATCAATCTTTACTCCAGGAGATATAAAGGTTTTTATTTTATAACACAAGACTAACATAAAACTGATTATAGATAATTTTATAAAATAAAATCTATAATATAATAAATATTTTGTGAAAATTTTTATATAATTAAATTCATATTTACTCAAAATACTTAGCTTAAAACCGTCAATACATTTTTCTATAACGAAAAAAAAAAAGGGTTCATTAGCGGTCGAATAGATAAAAACACCGAACACTGGTCGTGGGTTTGCTCCTGTTCAACGAGATAACCACGTGGTTTTTCTTCACGTTTGTAATAAAACTTCACTAGTTTTTCTTTAAATTAGTTTGATAGGATAAGGAAACACAATACATAACGATTTCACCTCTTGGAAGGACTTTTTTTATGGGTTGCAAGTCCTTGTTTAGCTGTTATATGAAGAAAACACATAAAATTCCACGTGGCCCCTCCGTTAATTCAATGACCGACTAACCAGTAGTGGTCAGGAGTGTTTTTATTTAGCCTTCAAACATATAAAAAAATGCAATGTAGGGTAGATGATGTTCTTCATAAATAATGTATTTTGGTTTAACTTTTAATATACTAAATATGGGTTAAAAGTGTACCAAGAGTTTGGTTGCTTAACTAATTTTTTCTTGACCATGACCGAAAATTTCAAAATAGCTTCAACAAAGTAATGTATGATTCAAATTTTATCCTTCAAATTTTAACCAATGGAATTATGCTAAAATATCCTATGGAAAGATTCGCTGAACAAAACGTTTAAAAGGATTTATAAACAATTTCGATTTTATTCTTTGTTTGGCTTCTGTAAATGATGGCTCCCAGTCAAACTTATACTACTGTAACAGAAACATCAAGTGAACATGTCGAATCTAAAAGACCTCCCATGCAAATTGTATGGAGAAATGTAATTGCTTTTATAATTCTTCATCTCGGTGCTCTTTATGGAGTTTACGTGATGAATTGGAAAACTTTCATAGCATGTAAGTACAATACTGTACATCTAACGTATATTGTAATTAATCAATATATTAAAAGTACTTAATATATAATTTAGTAGATAATAAGATAAAATGCCACAACTTAATAATAAAATTTTATATCTTTTTTTTTTTTTAGTGATTATATTTGGATACGCGAGCGTTTTAGGAGTAACTGGAGGAGCTCACAGACTATGGTCACATCGCAGTTATAAAGCAAAATGGCCGGTTAGAGCCTTACTTATGATTTTACAAACAATGGCCATTCAGGTAACTTTTTCTCATTGTTACTTTTACAATTAAACAATTCAGAGATACAATTTAATCGATAAGATCAATCAAAAATCGATTTTATACTATTAAAAAACAGATTGATTTCTTTTTAAAACCAGTTTTTAGTTCTTCGAATTCATATAAATAAGGTTATAATAATATATATATATATTTTTCGTGTTATTTTAAAGAAACTAACCTGAATAATTCGCGAGAAGGTTTTAGATGCTTCGTGCAACACGACACGAATCGTAGAAGTAGGAAATAACGTATATAATGCAATGTAAACCGTAAATAGGTCGCAGATTTGTTGAATTATTATATAGACAGGTATATATTTTTTAATACTAGGCCGCGTTATACAGGTTTTAAAAAAAAATACATATACTAAAGAAAATATATATTTATAATTTTATTTATTTTCTACATCAATTTACGTGTTTTAAAATAAACTACGTTTAATTAAGTTCCTCATTGTTTATTATTTTTAGACGTATATAATTCAGAAAAAAAATTTCCTTATAGTCAATAAATTACAGTAGATCCCCCCTATAACACTATAGATAATTCCGTTTTATATGAATTCCATATTGTACGAGTCACTTAGATTTTACAAATACGTGTGCCGGGCTTTGAACGGATCACGTATTTGTAAAATATAAGTGACTCGTACAACACGGAATTCATATAACACGGAATTATCAACAGTGTTATAGGGGGGTCTACTATAATTGAAAATTAAATACAGTATTCATTTATAATGTAAAAACGAGTATAGTAAAGGAAAAAATTCGTAGGAAAAAAATGATATCAGAATGGATCTAAATATAAATTTATCTATAATTTAAAAATAGAAGTGAAAGTACTCCGGAAAAATCTTTTTTATGTCATTGTTTTCCTCTAACGAAAGACTTATTGTAAGGATTTAAATTTGTTTTTTTTTTATTAATTGTTACACTAATAAATCCTATTATATTGTAATTTACTTATTAAAAAATGATGTTAATATTACAGAATCATATTTACGAATGGTGCCGTGATCATAGATTGCATCATAAATATTCCGAAACGGATGCGGATCCTCACAATGCTACTAGAGGATTCTTCTTTTCTCATATGGGATGGTTGATGGTTAAGAAACATCCTGAAGTTAAACAAAAAGGAAAAGCTATAGATCTTAGCGATCTTCTTAAAGATCCTCTTGTTGTCTTTCAGAGAAAGTAAAGATACTTTTATATAATTCTATACAGTCGACCCCCTATAACACTGTTGATTATTCCATTTTATATGAATTCCATGTTGTACGAGTCACATAGATTTTACAAATACGTGAGCCGTTCACAGCCCAGCACACGTATTTGTAAAATCTAAGTGACTCGTACAACATGGAATTCATATAAAACGGAATATTCAACAGTGTTATAGGGGGGTCGACTTGTACACATAAATTTTTCTAATAGTTTATAAAACTTTTCTTTTTTTTTACAGGCATTATTTTCCATTGGTAATCTTAGTGTCCATAGTAATACCAACGATGATTCCCGTCCTCCTGTGGGGTGAAAATTATTGGAATTCATTATTTACAGTGTTTTTTACACGATATGTTTTATCTTTACACGGAACTTGGTTAGTTAATAGCGCTGCTCATATGTGGGGTAATAGGCCATACGACGTAACCATAAATCCGAGAGAAAGCCCCATTGTTATCTTCACTGGAAGTGGAGAAGGTTTTCATAATTTTCATCATGTTTTTCCTTGGGATTATTGCACGGGTGAATTTGGATGGAAATTTAATATGACTGCAGCATTTATAGATTGCATGGCGTGGTTAGGATTAGTATACGACAGGAAAAAAGTCAGTCCAGAAATGCTCAAACAGAGAATAGAAAGAACAGGAGAGAAATTATCATAAATTTAAATATAGAAAAATAAATAATTATTTTTAATGTTTTGTAAATATTATAATGAATTAAATTTTGTATTCATCTTAAAAGTATATAATTTAAATCTATTTTTTTTAATAGCCTAATCTAATAAATAAACCTCCCTGCGAAATAAAAGTATATAATTTAAATCTATTTTTTTTAATAGCCTAATCTAATAAATAAACCTTTTTTTTTTTTCTTTTACTCTTCAATCAACACTATAGATTATAACTCATGATATTCATGATGTTTTCCATAAATTTTTCCCAACTAGGAACAAAAAATTTCATACTTTTGCATACCGAATAGTTCTTTATATTCTTTAAATAGATAAATGTACTGTACTTACATTTCCAACCACTAATTGACTCAGATTAAATTATGGTTTAATTAAGGAAATGTAACACGTGAGAGATCAGTCAAGGGGTGTACATACTATAAGGAAAGTATCAGACAACTGAAGAAAACCCTACGTGCCCAACTTGTTGATCAGGCGCCAAATTGACACAGCTGTTTATGTAGATTACAAAATTAAATAAAACTCGTTGTAATGTCTTTTATTTCTTACCGTATACTAAAATAATCTTTAATTTCTTTTATACAATACAATATACACTATAAACATAATATAAATTTTAAATTTTTTATTTTACTGTAAACCTTATAAAGTTCGGTTATTTGTTCTTCGCTGTTTGATTTGTCTTAAAACTAATTTTTTTTTTTTTTACGTAAAGACCTGAAGAGTTTACCTGTTCTTCTTCACGTATCAAACATCTAAGTATAGGTTATTTTCCTATAAAACGACCTTCTGGTAGGCATTTCCTTTGGCAGATTGCCCACGAGATGCTTTACTTATTCCATCAACTAAACCAAACCAAACCTATGATGTTAGAATTTTAATTAAATTCGAACGAAACGTATTGTATTCGTAATTACTTGAAAATAAGATAAATTAAATTTATTAAGCACATTTTGGTGTTGCTCGATAAGTGATTTTTATAAAGAGACAATGTTTGCGCCCCACCAGAGCAACAAATATTGACTTTATCGAAGGATTAAATCGTCAATCAGTGGCATTAAAACGTTAGTAAACTGGCTAAAACGGTTCTCGTGTTCCTCGTGTTGCGTGTAAAAAAATTTCACAATATGAAATTCTTGATAAAAACGTCATCGTAATTTTTCCACGAAATGTATTTACATTGAAACGATATATTTTCTACAAATGTTGTCTTGTTGGTATTTTCTAATAAAGGGAGATTTTTTTTTAATATAATAGAATATAATTAAATATTCTTTTAATGAAAACTGGACCCTATTTAGATGGCCAGCCTGTTGGCCAAGAGCAAAAACCGCTACCAATTATCGGTGTTTAGTGGTTTTATCCCCTCGTCCACTGCCGAACTATGCAGAAGATATATTACAGTTATTCTAATTTTGTATAAATTTCCCCTCAGAGTAATACCTTTCTAGTAGGGAATTTCCAAGATCCGATTCCCTGAAATTCTGTCAAATTTCTGAAGATTTATTCCTGGAAAAATAAATTCATGACCCGAGAAATATTTTAAGTACCTTGATGTTACTATTGACCTTTCAATTATTAAAAATAGACTAGAAAAAAAAAAATATCACTTATTGATTTCGACTGAAATTACTAAAGTAAATTGGCTCTATTCTTAGGCTTGCCTATGCGCCAAAATTATTTGAAACTGATCTAGAGCTATGGTCTAACATTTTCTTTTACGGTTATAAAGGCTCGAATCTAATTCGTATGCCCAATACCTTAAAGGTTATATAGTGGGTCGAATATCCTTTCTCATTTTGCACCTCTGGCATATCTTGTTGAGAATCAGGCCACTTGTAATAGAGAAATTGAGAACATCCAAACGTGTTGATGCTTCACGTCAATTTATAAAAACAAGTAATTTTTCTCTCCTATCTTCTAAAATTTTATAATAGATAAGAAGGAAAAACCAGAGCTAAATATACCAATTTACAAACTATTCTAGCAATATCTAATATAGAAAATTTCATGAACATCTCTGATCAAGGAAAAGAAAGAATTGGGCGTTAAAAGATTAATATTTAAAATTCATTGCAACTTCCTGATTGTTGAATATGGGTCAAAATTTTCATTCATTTATTTAAAAATCTAGTAGTGAATAGCCTAATAGTTTCACTATTTGACCCGGTAACTAGTATTTGAAAATAATGGCATACATATGTAAAAATCTTTGTTTTTGTCATTTTAAATGTAAAAATAATTAAGTTCCTTAAAAACATTATTTAAAAAGAAAAAAAACCACGTGTACATTTAACAAATTTCTTCTATTCACGACAAACTTTTCCTTGTAAGCAATGTCTGAGTCAGTGTTTCATCCTTTCTATTAACAAATTTTGTCATTTTATACTGTACTTAATTTAATTTTATAAACTTTCAATTAAAAACTAATAAAATAAGTATATTATTTCTAATAAAAAATATAATNTCTCTTCTTGTAAAGTTGTAATTATTTTAATTATTTTTATTTCCTAACTGATTTTAACCAGTTCTATAGTAAGAAAACATTCCAATAGACAATATGCAAAGATTTTTTTTCCAGTTTACAGCAGTATTTATTACACAAAATTTAAGTAAAGCTTAACATACCGATCTTGCCCCCTGTCTCCCCTAAATAAAGAATATTTAATACCAAAAAGATTGATGATAATATCTTCGTGAATCTACGAATGTACCTGTACATGTGTACATAGCACAAATACAACAATAATACATATACGTGTGTTTACTTTAGAGCCCTCAAATTCAAGCTTAAAGAATTAAGAGGAATGGTTACATAAGAACTTATAGCATGTTATTAATTACTTTAAAGCTCAATGAATAACTGGTAACCCTTTTACGCACGTGGAATAATTAAGTAAAATGATAAACATCTAATCAACTAATTATAAAATATACCAAAAACAAATACCTAAAGACAATTGTCCCATATTTCATTTTCTTATTTTCCCTTTCTCATATCTTATTCTACATCTTATCTTACAATCTAATTCAAAATTATATTTTAAAAAAAAACTGCATAAAATCGTAATTTACTTGTTATGTATTGTCCAATCTTCATATATAGGCTAAGTTATTTTTTTTCATATAATTCTCGCAAGTAACTTTCCTAGAAGTTCTCAAAAGTGTATGCATTACTCATCCTGCTACATAATAAAGTATTGTAGATAAGTACGATAAAAGGAATTGTTTAGTAACTTCAGATAAAATTCATTATAATCATTCATATTTCATAGGAAATTAAGTGTTATATATGTGATTACTACGCAATATCTTTAGAATATTCCTAAATTTCAACGTGTAAAGTTAATGAAACTTTCTCATTGAGTAAGTCTCTGACAATAGAAATTTATATGTAAGAGAGCTTCGTGTTGTTAAATTATGATGGTTAAAAGCAGAGGGTGTGAGGGATCATGTGTCATATCTCGAGTGGGGTCGGACTTAAAGTGACAATGTCCATGTTATGAGGTTAATAAAAAGAATATTCAAACTACCCCTTACTCATCTTGAGAACTGTGTTATCTACGACATTACCGTCTATGTGGGTCTCATTGAAATAGCCTTTAAAACTGTACAGTAATTAGTTGTATAGACTTAAGGCTAATTCATATTTTGTGAGAGTAGAAAAGACAAGAAATGTTTTCTTTTTCTGTTATTCTCTTATTATAAGCATTCGTATTTTAATAAAAACTAATACAAGAAAATGAGAATGCAATTATTAAATATAAAGCAAAGAAAAGTAAATTTTCTCTTCTATTTTTCTTTCGAATCAAAAGAGAATGAAAGTGTGTCATGAGTAATGCAAAAAGTATTTCCATTAAGTAATTTTAGCATCGTTTTCTCTTGTCTTTTCTTATTTTCACGAGATATAAATCGGTCTTTAACGAATCAATTTAATCTATAAATTAATAAATTTGTTTGTAAAATATTTCCCTGTGTTTTAGATTTTTCCTTAAAAGTACTTGATAGAGTTATATAATTCTGTGGAATAAGGAAATTATCGAATGAAATTATAAACTCNGTGTTATATATGTGATTACTACGCAATATCTTTAGAATATTCCTAAATTTCAACGTGTAAAGTTAATGAAACTTTCTCATTGAGTAAGTCTCTGACAATAGAAATTTATATGTAAGAGAGCTTCGTGTTGTTAAATTATGATGGTTAAAAGCAGAGGGTGTGAGGGATCATGTGTCATATCTCGAGTGGGGTCGGACTTAAAGTGACAATGTCCATGTTATGAGGTTAATAAAAAGAATATTCAAACTACCCCTTACTCATCTTGAGAACTGTGTTATCTACGACATTACCGTCTATGTGGGTCTCATTGAAATAGCCTTTAAAACTGTACAGTAATTAGTTGTATAGACTTAAGGCTAATTCATATTTTGTGAGAGTAGAAAAGACAAGAAATGTTTTCTTTTTCTGTTATTCTCTTATTATAAGCATTCGTATTTTAATAAAAACTAATACAAGAAAATGAGAATGCAATTATTAAATATAAAGCAAAGAAAAGTAAATTTTCTCTTCTATTTTTCTTTCGAATCAAAAGAGAATGAAAGTGTGTCATGAGTAATGCAAAAAGTATTTCCATTAAGTAATTTTAGCATCGTTTTCTCTTGTCTTTTCTTATTTTCACGAGATATAAATCGGTCTTTAACGAATCAATTTAATCTATAAATTAATAAATTTGTTTGTAAAATATTTCCCTGTGTTTTAGATTTTTCCTTAAAAGTACTTGATAGAGTTATATAATTCTGTGGAATAAGGAAATTATCGAATGAAATTATAAACTCGGAATTATAAAAAAAAAAAACAATAGCTCCACGCTTATCATTAATAATATAATAAATAGATGATATAATTATTAATTTTTATAATAAATTTTTTTCAAATATTATTTTATTTTATTATAATCGTTTAATTAA